CAGAGTCCAGGAGCCTCCCTGTTCCGGGGGAATGCTCAGGAGTTAAAAGCTGGCAGGGCAGATTCAGTCATTTGAAAACGTATGTGAGTATGTCAAAGCAGGAGGCTAGACCATATTTTAACAGTTTGTTAACTTGATGTATAATGTTTAAATATTTAGACATATGGTCTATGGGTCTCCATCTGTGTGATTGCCTCAAGCCTCACAAACGTTCTGCAAAGGCTTGTATCATCCTATCCACTAGTGCGCTCGCACCTAGTGGTGGATGTGTAATGGAAGATGTGGAGTCTCCAGTTGGTCTTAGTACTTTGCAAGGTGTTCGCAAAGGACAGTGAGATGTCTGTTGTTTATAAAGAAATGCATGTTTATTCAAGTTGGTCCTTAAATTCAAGCCAATCACTTGCGTCATGTGCAGCCAAAGAAAGAGCAATTTGTTTCAACACTTAAGGGCAAGGCTAAACAGAAAGAACTGACTGTTTGGTGTGTAGATATACTGGGAAACCACCGTACACCATGCTTTCTGGTTAGTCTAAGCACTTAAGTACTTGGCTACTAAGCAAAAGGTTGATCATTAAAACTCACCAGCAACCCCACCGGGAGGAAAGGCCTGGTGGTCTGCTCCTATGAGATGTATGCCTAGCATAGGAAGTCCCAACAACTAAGCAAGAAAATTACTGGAATTGACATCAAGATTTAGCAAAGTGTCAGCATATAAGATCAACATACAGAAATGAAATCAAGTAAACAATATCAGTTACAATTGCTACCAAAAAAGAGAGAATACTTAGGAATAAATCTAATCAGAGATACAACAAAACATATACAAAAGAAATCTACAAAATGCCACCACAAGAAGGCAAAAGAGACCTTCAAAAATGGAAGAATACACGATGCTCATGAATAGGAAGACTTAACATTGTACCCCAAAGGAACTTCAGATATAATTAAATCCCGGTCATCATTCTTTAAAGAGATGCAAAAGCTTACAACCAACTCAATGTCGAAAGGAAAGAGACCTCACACAAACAACGCACAAATAAAGAACAATAGGAGGCCTCACATTTCCCAATCTCAGTCTCAGCAATCAGACACATGAACCAATGGATCATAATTGAGAACTCACAAGTAAACTCATCCACTTAGCTGACCTTTGACAAAGGGCTAAAACCCATTAAATGGAGAAGAGATAGTCTCTTTAATAAATGGTACTGGCAAAACTGACAAACTCACGATCCATCAAAGACCTAAATGTTAATCCCCAAACTATAAAGATCATGGAAAACAATATGGGTAAATTTAGTCACTACCACTGAGTCCATACTGACACATGGCCACCCTGATTACAGGGGTAGAAAGCCCAATATTTCTCCCACCAAGCTGCTGGTGGTTTCAAACTGCCGACCATGTGGCTCGCAGCCCAACAAGTAACCACTACATCAACAGGGCTCCTCAAAGGATAAATTTCGGGGCTATAATACGTGGCCTGAACACACTATCAATCATAACAAAAAATGCACAGGAGGGCTGAGTGGTTTGAACTGTTGAACACAGAGTTGATGGTTTGAGACGTAAACCCCCCACACCACCTAATTCACAATAAAACTTTCATTTAAAAATAAATAAATACCCCCAAGAAAATGATTTTAAAAACAACAAACAAAACCAAATAAAAAAATTAAAATTGACAAACTAACCGACTGGGGACTCCTGAAAATGAGACACTTGGGACTCTGAAGGGTTTTACCAAAGTAATGAAAAGAAATTCCACAAACTTGGAAAAAATGCTAGAACAGCATATCAGATAAGGGATAAATCTCTGAAATGTATAGTTGCCAGGGATGAGGAAAGGAGGCCCTATCACAAGCTAGAGGCTAAAACATAGTAACTAGGGTGGAGGGGAAGGCAGTACACAAAATTTGGCAAAAAATGATTAAAAAACAACAACAACACAAAAAGTTGGCAAAAAAATGATTAAACAACAACAACAACAACAACAACAATTATGTAAGTTGGCAGTCCACAAAAAGTTGGCAAAAAATGATTAAACAACAACAACAACAATTAGGTAAGCCTAGAGAAGTCTAGGAGAAAGTTCTGTCATATAGGACCACAATGAATTGGATTCTTCTTGGAGGCACAAAAAAGGGGATTTTCCAGGGGAACTTTAATTATATGTAACTTTTAACACAATAAAAAGCAATTCATCTCAAGTCAATCTAGTTGTCCTTCGTTCGGGTGAGGTGCCACACTGCTGAGCGTTAATTTGCTCTATTTCTCACAAATCCTAAAATTTAATATCTCTCATACTAGTAGACTGGTGGTGGGATGATAAACAGTGTAACTATTACGGAAACAGTATGACATTTTGTTAAAAAACTGGAAATAGAAATATGATCCAGCAATCCCCCTACTAGGTATATATCCTAGAAAAACAAACACTTCCTAGAGAAAGAAATCTTATTATCAATAAGTTCTTCTTCGTACAGTTATGATTCCTATGGCTATTGGGATCTTTTAAACCCGGCCGGGTGGGTTTGAACCACCAACCTTTCAGTCAGCAGCCAACCACTTACCTGCTGCACACCAGAGCTGCCATGATCATATTAGACCTAATTTTGGTAGTAGGTTTCAATAGACATGAATTCTGACTTATTAACCCATATCAATACTAGATTGCCACATCCAAACTCACTTCTTCCTGACTTTTCTGGTTGAGATCATATTACTTCTGTTCGCACCTTCCCACGGGACTTATCTGTTAAACTTGCTTAAACTTTCTACACTAGCTTAACTTCTCCACATCCCCCTAGAGATGAGATGCCAAGGGGATACACCGCATTGAGTATAAATACCTCCTCAATTCCACCCGACATCTTGTTAAAGTGCAAACTCTAATTTAGTAGGCCTGTGATGAGCTAGAAAAGGCATTGATCCAAAAAGCTCTTGGATTATGACGATGCCTCTTTTTCCAGCCCACACTCTAAATATCAACGTCCTGCAAGCTTTCAAGGGAGACACAGCAGCACCTGGCCTTCTCCCCCAAGCCCCTCGCCCCATAGAGGATCAGCATTTAAATGAGTTACTAATTCAGACTTCATGTAAATACCATGCCAGTACTGATGTTACCTGAATTAGGATTTTTCAAGATATTCAACTTTGGAATTCTTCCTATGAAAGACATCAGGCTATGGTTCCCTTATGCTAGATTACCATACATTAAAAAACTACCCCATATATTTACAATATACACTTAAATATATTTAATCAATATATTTAATGTTCACATTGCTATGATTATATTAACAATGTTCAAAGTTGAGCCAATATAGCATACTATGATTGTATTTCCAGTCTTCTATTATTTTTCATTTTCCCTGGAGTTAGTAGTTGCCTCAATTTTTCATTCGATTAAAAATTTTTTTATTGTATCTGTCACTAAGGTAGTCCCCACGCTTTCTTTCAGAACTAGAAAAACTACTCCCAATACAGTCAAAGATACCACGTTTCTGTTTCT